ATAAATATATATTGCCTTTATGGGAGTAAGAAAGGGACCCTGGATATCAAGGGCTGTCCTCTTGAATACTAGGTGAATCCTAGGAAAAATCTTGAATGAGGTGTCAAGTAACATTCACCAAAAGTTACAGTTTTCTAAATCTAGGAAAAATCTGTAATGGTGCCTGATGTCTGTGCAGAGGTCGCTTTCGCATACTATACTCCTGACATGATTGACAATAGTGTGTTATGTCCTTGTTCATGTCTGTCCAATAAAATTGCATCTACAATTTTTTCCTTAATTTCTTCACTCCCAAGTGTCCTGAACTAGGGATGTCATGAAACATCTACAAGACATATTCGACCATGTTTCTGGGAATAACCAATCTGCCCCATATTTCATTTTTTTCAGAGTTTAACTTTCTGTGGTATTATGTCTGCTTTGCATCTAAATAAAATTCCCTACTCTCAGGACTCTGACTCTATTCTTGTGATGTTGAAGCACCTGTCAAACACCAACTAATTTCTATGCAATAGAGGTCCTTTTGTTGCTGTTCTTGGATCTAGGCCTTGCTGTATATAGAGTGTAACTTGTCAATGGATGCTATGGGCACTCTACTCAATGCATCGGCATTGGTATGGGCCTTCATGAGTGTAAAGGAAAGGCCTTGCATTGGTTTAACATTTGATTGTGATGGTTTGTTTTGGTTCACATTTTCTTTTGTTTCCCTTTTTGCTTTGAAAAATGCACCTATCTTAACTTCCCCTATTTAATTTTATTGGTTGAGTCAAAACATTCATAATCCTAATTGGTATTTTGCCGCAGTGTTGCATTTTCACTAAGACACCTAAGATAAACGCTCCTTCTCTATCCAAAGTGCAAGGTTTGACTACGCCTACCTAGTCAACGACTTCTCTTCTCATGTTTCCTTCCACAATGACTTCTGATCACTTCTGAATCATTCAACAGCATGACATCACTCTGAGTGTCATCTTTCCTTTCGTTTTTTCTAACTGTTACTCAGTGGTTTAGAGTTTCTAAACTACTTCTCTGTTCATACTTCGTTTTCCTCAATGTTTTATTTTTATTTTACTATTATTATCATTATTATTTTTATTATTTCTTAATGTATCTATTCCAAAAACAAAGCACATACTCAGTATTAACTGGGTCTTGATGCATACTATGCATACTTTACCCTATGATCTCAATATATGGGGCTCGATGCTGGTTGGCCACAAAACGTTATTTCACACTTTCTTATCTTTCTTGCCCCATCTTCAACCAAAACCCTATACCTTCCCCTTCTTACTTCTTTTCAAAGGCTAAGCCACTGGTACAGCCTTCTTAACATTTGCAAACCAAACCACTTCTCTGTTTATTTATCTGTGCGTGGCTTCCTTTCCTCATTCTTTTATACTTGTTACTTTTATTAAACTTGTTCTGATCTTCACTAACATTGTCTAAGCATGTCAAATTTTCTTTGAACCTACCGTGTTGATTCCTTTTCTCCTGTCCACTATCCTTTGTTTCTAATCTTTGAGGATTACTAATGTTGTTGTGAAAACGCCCATACCCAGAAGGTTATCTCATCTCCCCTTGGGAATATTAGCTTCACGTTTTTAACAGAAACGATTATATCATATTTCTCAATTATATCCCTTCCTAAAATTCCTTCATTTGCTTTGGTTATTTTAGGGTCTACCACGTAACATTCATGAGAAAACTCTAAATTACCAATCTTAAATCTCATGATATATTTCTCTGTTGTTTCTATCTCATGGCCGTTATTCTTATTAAATCTAACGCACTCATTTGCGCTTTTGACAATTTGCCTAAATCTTGAAAGAGCGATCTATTGTAAGTAGGGAATTCGATCCCGGTCCTTATTTCTAATCCCGGGATCCCGGGATTATTTCGGTATTGAGGGTTAATAAAAAATAAGAAAATCTTACAGAAATCAAAAATCAAAATTTAGACAAAAATCAACGTATTTTNGATACAGTAAACATGATATTATTTTTAAAAAAAATTTCAGGCTTAACATTGACGAAAATTCAACATGGCGTCATAAACAACAAATAAAAATTTCAACATCAAACAGGTTAAAGGTTTAGTTAAATGTGTTTATAGATTAAGTTTTTTCAGTTTTCAGACAACACCAACTTTGACACAAAGATTCTACATAATAAGATCCACAGAAATATCATATGGATAGTTTATTAAGGATAAACATGCACAAAAACTTGATTTTTTGCCAAACCTCTAACTTAAAACTAAAAAGTGTTAAGTTACGAGTTAAAAACTAAAATTTTTAACTCAAAGTCCAAATTTTTTTTTCCTGACCAATTCAAGTTAACCAGGTTCCACTGAATGAATATTGATTAAAATATCAATTTTAAACTAATTTTTTATTATCTAAGAAATTATACTATTTGAATTTTGATTTGTAGTTTTTTACATTTTGATAAAAGTATGGTCTTGTTTCAGACAGAGGTTGCATGTTAAGCAGGTACCATTTTAAACAAAATTCTATGTAAATTAGTAGTCCCAGATAGTTGCCTAAACACTTGTACAAGCATTTACAATTAACATAAAAGTGTTAAAGTTTGTATAAAACATTTTACTTATGTTTTTATTATAATGAATATTTAGTGCAATGTTTTTGAATGTATGAAGCAAACTGTTTGTATAACATAGTAAGGAAACTATAGGTAGCCCTCGATGTATGCTGGTTCATTTTACGCCAATTCACAATAACGCTGCTGTGCAATTCACCGTTTCACTGTGTAATGCCCTGGTTTTCCCTATGCTAGATTTGACTAGATTTTGTCCAGATTTGACCAATCCTAGCGAGACATGAGTCCACTACGACACCACGTGTTGTGGTAGAATCATGGATCGTTGGAATTGGTCAGATCTAGACCAATAGAGAACATTCCACAAACCATTAAATTTGAATGAGTTGCAGACCTGACATATAGCTACAGAAAAATGATGAAAAAGAAACTCCAAGAATTATGAAAACGGCCGATCTAAAGCATATCCTTTCAACTATAAAAAGTTTGACGGATGAACTTTGTGAGTTAAGACAATAATTGGGAGCGAAGTGCTAATGTAAAAAGAAGTATCATCGCATCCATTCGACCATATTCTGAAATTCTTAATGAAAGAAAACAATTAAAGATGGATACTTTTTTCCGAAAAATGTAAGCAATCCGAAAGTAAAATTTTTTAATGAAAACATTTCACTTTATTTTATGATAAAATACATTTTCAAAATTAAATTTATATGTATTTTATATTATATTGTATTAATAAACAAAATTATATGCTTATTTTTCACTTATGTAGAACCTAATCCTACACCTCACTGTAAATATGGGTTCATTTTATGCTGATTCAATTTGCGCAGGCTTTTGTAGGAACAAAACTGCAGCGTAAACCTAGGGCTACCTGTGCTTGAGCAAAATGTTTGTATAACATAGTAAGGAAACTAATTAATCTGTCTATCTCAAACATGTTTATCTCGAAAACCTCTTTATCTCAAAATTTATTTTTTCTCCTGCATTTTCAGCCTAAATTCAATATATTTTCCATGTTTATCTCAAATGATTTTCTCTCAAAATGTCTATATTTCAAATTATAGACTGAAGTGTCAATTACAAATTCAAAATTCAGTGACTATATTTTGATAGCATAAAATGTAATTGAGAAACAACTCTTGCAATATAATACATTGTTGCAACTAAAACTACCTTTCTCTCGGCTACTAGTTTGGTTTGTGTCTTATTGGTTGAAAAAAGTCGGGCATCAGAAACTATTGATACACTATTTCTGTTAAGATATGTCAAAAATTTTTATTTATATCAATTACATCAGTTTTATGTACAGTACTTGCTATGGTATTAATAAAATATCATACCTCCAATCAAACCTATTACTGTTTGCTATGTAGGAACCTCTACATCTTGAAACCTATCTATCTCAAATTTTTTTTCTTGTTTCCATGAGATTCAAGATAGACAGGTTCAACTGTACATGCAAACCAGAGTATTAATCATAGTGAATAACATTCACTAGTTCTCCATGTTTAGTATGTCAGAAACTGGAGAAACATGATTCAGTATGATGAAGAACGGGAAAACTTAACCATTTGCCATCTGCAAAAATATAAAACCACATATTTTTTCAGATGGCAAATCCTGCATAAAACAAGACCCTACTGTATAAACCATTTTATTTTGAAAACAACTATAGTATTTTTCCATAAAAAACTATATGTTTTTTGCATATTAAAAAAAAATAAGGTACAGTTGACTTCCCCCAATAACACGGGTTCATATAGTTCAGATTCCTATATGATGACGAAAAAATTGCGACAGTATTCGTACAAGCACACTAAAAAAACTCGTATAATTCAGTAAAAACGTCATCGCCAATTTGTGTTGCGACAAGATTGGTTGAATCTAGACCAATAGCAGATATTGTACAAACTGTTGAGTTTAAACGAGCAGCGGACCTACTAAAAACCATTTATTATTTAACGTCCATAAAAATTATATTTATATTAATGATATCTCCAAAGTTCAGTGAATTTTTCACAAAAAAATAATTTATCAGGAAGCAAACGAGCACCATTCAATGATAAGCTCTATGACTAAAACAAGCTTAAGCAATGGCATCGTCAAACGGTGCACATTTGGTAAGTAATCCTACAATTTTTTGTTTATAGCATAGTTTATACGGATTATTCCCAAAAAATTATACATATTTTGGAAATGTTGAGTCAAATTAGTCTAGAATCGACTAATTTTATGGAAGAAAACCTTTCAAACAGCCGTAGTCTGTAAACTGCATACATGCCAGGCTGTGATTGGCTCATGTATTTATAGACTCTTAGAACATCAATTTCATAAAGAATGGAACGTATCTACCGTGTTATAGGGTGGTCGACTGTACTGTACATCATTTCATACTTTTTATTTATATATTGTTTTATAGAATATATATATACATACCAAACAATAGTAATGAACAGTTACATCATTTAAAGTTTTCATTTCTCCATATTGCAAATCATTTTCATAACTGCTCATACAAAGCATACATTCTGAAATTTATAAAATGAAAAAATCATTAATAGTTATTCAAAAATTGTTAACAAATTTTATTTTATTACAATTCAATATTAGTAATACTGAATTGAATTTCTGAATGAAATTATAAAATATAAAACAAAGTTCAAACATTACTAATGAAATCATTAAAATGCCAAATTATATTATTTGTATGATTTTATCACTTAAATTAACAAATCTGATTGTAAAGATCAAATGTAAGTCCAGCTTGTGTAATTGATAACGCATCTGCACTGTGAACAGCACTGGTGCAAGCATACTTGGTGCCCTAGGCAAATGATGTGTGTTGCCCCCTTAGAAAAAAATTGATACACCAACATTTAAAAACAAAACATATTACTATATGCTTTAATGCAAAAAAACACAATCAAGTTAATAAGCATTACATATTTATTACCGATATAAAATACTACATAAATTATTATTAAGATCAAAGTTTCAGGCCTCACATAGAACATGTGGGTGAAGCAAGTTGGAATTTGGTACATAACTTACTCCTTTTCCGAGTAGCTGCATTGCAAAGTCACAGATTTTCCCCATTTTCCTTATTTTCTTTGAAAAGCTCACAGTTAAGGAGCTTTTCTTTGTCCTCGTTGCCAGCCACTGTGATGATAATGCCAGCATTTTTCATGTTCTGTATTCCCTCAATATGAATTTTATTCTTTTTGTTGTTTAATCCCATAATAAATTTGTCACGCATAACATCATTCTTAGCTTCATCATTGCCCCTTATTAGTACCATCTTAGTACTTTGTTTTTTTACCTGTGTTACCACTTTGCAGTTTCCTCACAGATGGTTTCCCTACTCTTGTTATATACATTAGCTAATTGTTCTTCACCTCCTCAACAGCCACTACTACTTCCTTTCAGATATCCATCAAAGTTTTAACTTGCATTTTCAAGATCTCATTCTTAACAAGAGCAGTTTGCAACTCTTTGTGCATCTGTCATATATTCCATAATCTTGTTTGCAATGACTTTTGTCATGCGGGAGTTCTTTCCATAACAGAATTGGCTTACTTCCACAAACATTTTGTGAATCTTGTCAATCTCACTCCCTGGTTGTGTCAGAACAGACCCTTGACTGCAGACCAATGTTTCGCATTCCATTGTATTGGACATCCTCCTCACTCCTTCACCTCACCATGCTCCAAAGAGCCCATTTCTCCTAGCCCCCCCTTAGGTTTAGATTTAGTTTTTGTTGATTCCCTGTGAATCTGAATGTACAGGGGAAGTATACAGTCAACATTAGCAGGGCCCCCTGTACTGACAGAAGGCTAATTACAACAGGGTTTTGCCCAATTGCCTAAGATCATTATCAACACTCTATGGAACCAGATAAGAGACCTGAGGGCTCAAGAACTTCTAGTCGGAAAAACTGTAGAATTATTGCTTTGCTTGTTCTTCTCAAGCAATGAACAGCCAAACAATATGGAAGAGCTCCACAGATCAGCAAAGTACTGGCTCAAAAGCATAGCCCTTGCCAGTAACAAACTTGGAGGTTGTCACTGGCAAGCTCCAGGTTTGGACAGCATTAAGATCAAAATGATACAAGTTGCATAATAGGTCAATCTCTGCTCCGTGTAATGTATCAAAAGTGCCTACTCTGGAATACTTCCCAGAGCATTGGAAGTAACACTTGTGTTACTTCCAATGCTCTGGGCATCTGAAATTCAAAGTCTTAGACCCAACAGGAATTTATCCAATACTCCTGTTGGGTCTAAGACTTTGACAATTTAACAGGAGTTTATCCTAAGAATACTTGGATAAACTCCTGTTAAATTGAGTCTATTTCCATCTAAAGTAGCAAAGCTGTATACCCACAAAAAGTTGGATTCTGTCCTGAATATTTACATTTGCACACTCTTCAAAAATGAAATTGCAACACCATGAAGGAATGTGCATAGCCACATGCAAATTGCAGGACCAATAGAAATGACAGAGATATGCAAACTTATACATTTGCATACAAGGGGCATGCCTTAACATTTGATGATAGGGAAGCTGTGTTTCTATAAGAAGCTGACTTCCAGGAGCAATCAGTTAATTCTTTCTTTAAATGTATTTTTAATAGATTATTTATCTGACGTACTTAATAAACAAGTTTAATATAATCACCTCTGTTATTAAATCCAATATATTCCATATGCCCTCTAAATGCCAATTCTTGCTTTGATAAAAACATATAACATCTATTTATTTAGATATAATGTATCTATTAGCCGTAACTATCTCGTTATAATTTTCAATATTTATTTTATATTATTTACTAATGTTAAATTCTATTTCGCTTCGATTTCCAGATTGCTCCAAATACGAAAGAATCGACGATTTTTCGCATCTTTTGCCAGCTAAATTGTCAAAGCCATTCTTATTCCACACATTAATTTCATTTGAAAATAGTAGGCAAACCAACAAAGCAATTTTTGCATTTTTATGCATTTACAGAGCCATTTTATCGTGAAAATGTCAAACAAATTTTTTTATCTAAGCATTTATATTTAACTTAGGCATTGGCCTTTCTCTTTTAATAATGTTTTCTTTTTCATTATATGATCTCGAGCCAAAACTTTTTTCAAATAAATTTTCAATATCGCAATTACATTCCGAATTGCTAGCNTTTTCCCCGTTAGGTTCCACTTTAAGTTAAAGGAAAATTTAATTAGATTTTAAGCAAATACAGGACAATTAATCGACAAATAGTCGACAAAAATTCCGGATTTCACACGTGCTTCATCTCTTAAATATTCTACGTCACTCAGTTGTTCGCTAATCTTAACCGAAATAACTCTATCACCGCAATTCCCTTACAAATTATCTCGATTTCCTTCCCTTTGATAATCTACTTGCCTGAAGCTTCCCTCTGGACTGGATAAGGCTAGGCCTTTGTTGGCTGTGGTGCTAATTGGTGTTCCCTGAGTCACCTAACTCCCTTCCGGCCAATCTTGACTGTAATGCGCCGAAAAATAAGGCATTTGTTCCCAATTTTGGTCATTTTTTGTTCTAACTGCCTGTACTGCACCTGATAAAAAGTTGCACGACCCATATAATGCAAATACAATGGGTACGAAAAAGATGCTAGCGGGGTCTGTCTCCTGAACACTGATGGATCACACTGATTAAATTCAGGCCATACCTGATATGGCTGGACAAAAGGCAAGGGTTCTTCCCTGTCTACTTGTCCATGGGGTAAGAGATTCGGTCTGCGGTACTGCCAAAAGGGTGTTTGATTATAATACGTCGCGAGGTTTTGTCTAGATGATTGCACACTCTGTGGTCTTATAACATTCATAGGTGGCAATTGATGCTGCCAGCTTGCATAATTCTGTGCTCTTCCCCTTCCAAAATTGGGTCTTGTTGCAGGTTGGGGTATTTGCCTAAATTGCGTGTATGCCTCCTTGCGAGGATTATTTATTGGTCCCTTTGAAGACTGATTCTCAATTTTTTCTCCCAAATTTTCAAGTTGCCACGTAATTTAATTAATTTTTGCATCAAACATGGGTTCTTGGTCCATGTTTTTGTTCTCCCTTTTTGCTGCATGATTGTCCTGCATTTCTTCTATGCCCACAACAAAATTCCTATTTTTTCCCATCAACTGCTTGATTGTTTCTTCTCTGATCGCTAACCTTATTGCTTCTTAAAACATAGCAGAGTCTTTCACCACAATGTTTCACTTATATTTTTCATTCAGCCCATGCAGAAACTAGACACAAAGCTTTTCGTCCAGCTCCCGTTGCTGACATTGTTTTATGATGGCATGCTCCTGATCTATCATTTCTGTATGTTGAATGGTTGTTGCATTGGCTAATGTTTGCAGCCTGACTGCAAATTCTTAAACCCCTTCCTCACATCACTGATTACAAGTGTGGAATTTTTGCACACGAATCGAATACAGTTCACAATCGAATCTCTGCACCATTAAATGTTTAAACTTGTCGTACTCGCTGATGCTTTTCATCCGAGGTTTGCATATCCCTCCATGCAAACCTCTGACAATGCCTGCAAATTTGCATTTTGCAATGCTTAAGCTTAATCACTTGGTCCATCCCGTTAAGCTAGCTACTTCATCCAACATATCAAAAAAGTTGGCGACACGCCCATTTTAACTTGAAAAGGTCTGAATCATCCCTCTGAACGCTGCAATTCAGCCTCTGCCTACTTTCTGCATTTGTGATGAGGCAGATGAGATACCTGTCTCAGTGGCCATATTCTGACTCACTTTTCTTCCTCACTTCTAAAATTTTTGTATCAGCTTCCTCACCATTCTGGCGGATGGTACTACCACCTTTTTTCCCACCAGTGTAACTTTTGGCAAAAAATATCCCACTTCTGACACCACTGTGAGGTAAGCCAATGGGGGTGAGGAGTTTTCTGACAGCCGAGCAGTCTTACTTCATCGTGTGGGAGTGTTAAGACTCACCAAGACAGGTTTACCATATAAAACCATTTAATAAAATAAAAATTTCTTACAATATTTTCTTGATTGACAGCGTAAGGCTAAAGTTCAAACAGAGTTCGAAAAGTTTGTGTTTTCGTTTCCTGCAGTTTGGCGAGGACAGAAAAATAATCGTAGGCCCCGGGGCAAATGGAACTGCTTCAGGCTGTTGTTCTCAGATGAACCGACAATCCTGGAGGTTGATAGGTGACACGGCAGATGAAACTGTTTCCACTGGATCCAAAATGTTCTTTCCAAGCTTTAGCGGGAGCGCACACAACCAAGAGAGGTGAAACTACACATCCAAGCACCCCAAATGTTCTTGAAACGTGCTGTTTTATAAAATTTTCCTCCAAAGGCACTTCTCCATTGGTCTCTTATCGTCACCTGGTGACAATTCGAAACCCGATGAAGGGCGCAAGAGAGGGGTCAATGTTGTGACAGAATATGACTCCTCTCCTGTTGCATTTTCCTTGACTTTAATTAATTTAAAGCTGCTTTCTGATGTCAAAAATGACCTCCGATAGTTTTTTAATTTTTTAATTAATAGATTTTATTATATATATGTTTAATTAATTAGGGGGGTTGAAAATCGCAATAAAAATTATAATTTTTTAAAAATATTTAAAAATATAGGTTTAGTTTTTAATCACCCTACTTTAAACCCTTCTCCTCCCGAGACGTTTATGAGAATGTCCCGGGAAATATGACACCAGCTGTTCTCAAGGTCATCCAGATGTGTAAACAATGACTCATCGGTGTTAAATTTCACAGAAAGGCGAGACAAAGGAAACTAAATTATGAAGCTTTTTAACCAAAATTAACGCATTTCTTTCGTTTTTTTTCAGTTTTAAGTATTTTTTATGCTTAATTAAAAATTATTTTAAAAAAGTGGACAAGAAGCGATTAATCCCTTCTATTGTTTAAACACATACTACAAAAACTTCCATTGTTCAACCAAGACCTTCGATTCCTCTTACAAGCATCGGTAATGGTGATCGTTAATTTCTCAATGTTACTCCCTATCTGCACCTCCCCATCGGCCCCCGTTTCATTTCAAAAACAGTGGAAGTAGTGTTGTATGGAGATATCCCCAATTTTCAAACTGTGCTAGAGCAAAACCATGTTGTATGAGGGATACCTGTACTTTATCTATATATATAAAAATGAATGTATGTCTGTCTGTGTGTCTGTCTGTCCTTCATGCATTACCACACCGTTTATCCGATTGCCATGAAACTTTGGGAAGTTGTTTAATATACTCCCGCGAAGGTTTGTGGCATTTATCTTACAATAGATGGCGCGCGTTTACACAAGCATTCAAGCACTGTGTGTTCGATCAATTTCAAATTGTGAAGACCATTTCCCCCTTCAAAAAATATCTTT